AGTTCAAGCAAAACAGGAACTGGGTGAACCAAATAAGTAAATCTGACCTGTGTTGAACTGGCTATTATTTTAACTATTCACCAGGTAGGTAATTCCTTTTTGTCAACTTTTAAGTTAAGCTTTCAGATAGTTTTTTGTGGGTAAATTTCACACATTTTTAACAATAACGTTTTTTTCCTGTTCACTCATAGCAACAACTGACAGGATGTAGGCTTGGAAGAGTCTATAGACCAAATTACACTACCAGCAATAATCACTTCCAGTTAGAAATCAGGCAGTTGTGGAGATATATAAATTCGGGAAACTTGTCAATTTCTGTTGTCATTTTCAGTCGTAACTGTAACATCTAAAAACATATTGTTAAACCGCTTTACCTTACACATTGACAGACTGGTGCCAGCGTAGACCAGCAACTCAGTGTTCTGCTAAGTAAAATTACTCTTTTCATCAATGGAGTCTGGTAAATTGAGATAACAACTTCAACTTCCCATAGGAAAGTGCTGTATGACGACAAGGTAAGGTGGTGAAAATATTCTAAACATATATAAAAATATATATATATATTACACTAAATAAACTGATACTGATTTTCATTTTAAGTGTACATTTTTAAGTGGCTACAAACTCACTAATTGAGGCATGTGCATTTATTGTTGCCATATTTTTATTGCCATTTTGCTGTAATTATTCACACTTACTCCATGGTGCTCTCATATTTAAACTAATACGGAATAAAAATTCATAATAACAAAAGTAAAACATACAAAGTTTGACATTCCATGCTGAATTCCTACCTGCAACAGGTGGAAGGCTGGGTGGGAGGGCGCCTGGTGGGGGCACGGGAGGCCGCAAGTTCACAGGTGGGGGGTTCATGAGAGGTGGTGGAGGTGGGAGGCCTGGGGGAGGTGGTGGGTCCACACCTGGGATTGGTGGAGGTTGGAAGGGCAGCATGTTGGGCAAATTGACATCCTCCACTACAACTGGGTCACTTCCATGGTCGAAAGGACACATGTCCCCTCTCATGCAGAAGCCTTTTTCTGGAAAAGACAGCAGCCACAAATCAAACACACAGAAAAACAACAATAAAACACATCCTATGTACACACTTTTCCTGTAAATAAAAAAGTTTAATTAGCTTTCATTACCATCATAGTCACGGCATCGCTTCCTCGGTTGAGGGGGTGGTGCCCTGCTGAAAAGGCCACGATCCACGGGGTGTCCCGGTCGGAAGTCTGACCAACTCTCAGTGGTGTTGTTGCTATGATGATGTGTGGGAGCGATGACTGTAATGGTGCTGCTCAGTGTTGGCACGGGGAAGTGAGTTGTTGTTGCAGCGGAGACCAAGGCTGCTGGGGTGTAGCCATCACTACCCTCTGGCCGGTCCACACGCTCATGATCAAACTTCAACTTTCCAGAATCTCGTTCTGCAAATAGACACAAATTGCCATTTATAAACGTAAAATTACTGCTATAATGCCATGTATTCCAGTGAGAAATTAACTGTGTACATTTCAAACAAATTAAATCTTCTTTCATGGTTTTAATTCCTAAATATCTGTCGTTGACTGACTATGTTGTCTACTCATGTTCAGCTGCATCATATCCTATCACTGTTGGGGTGTATCAGTTCAAAATGCTAAGGTCAATGCTGATAAGTCATTGTGTACAGTAAGTTATTCATAAAATATTTAAAATCCTAAACCAGAAGTTATCTTAATGCCTAATTAACACCAAAATACACCCATATAATATTAGAAAAACATCTCTGGAAACCATGAGATCATTTTTGTGTTTTAGAAGCTTCTTGGTCACTTTAATCTGACTGGACACACTTTGAAAGTTCAGTAACAAACAGGATCAAAGTTCAAATGAAGTGAACTTTGAACAGACTACCAAAAAAAACGAGTGGTGTTTTGGTGTCACTGATCTCTCCACAGAAACACAATGGTTCGAACGGGCACAAAGTGATCATGTTGGTAATCATGACAACCTTCCATTATCTTAGGTCCAACAAACAAGTTTCAGATTCTTACCTCTACTCCTGCTTCTGGACCGAGTCCTGCTGTGTGACCGGCTCCTGCTGCGATCTCGATCCCTATCTCTGTCCCGGTCTCTATCCCTATCCCTCTCTCTGTCGCGGTCTCGGACGCGATCCTTGCTCCAACTCCGGCTGCGGCTACGACTGTAACTGCGACTGCGGCCTCTCCTGCGATTGTAGCGATCGCGGTAGGAGTCCCTCCTTGGTGGGATGCGGTCATATTCCCTCTTCCTGGAGCGGTCATCTCTCTTGCGATCATCTCCTCTCCTAAAAGTTTGAATAAACAAAGATATGATAATTAATGAAAAGTGAATATAGGTTGAAAGAGAAAGTTTGAACAGGCAGCTGCACACACCTGACGTCTCTGCTGTAACGAGAGCTTGATTGCGGTGGGCTGTGATTTACTCGCCGAGGGAACTTTTTCTCCCGTTCATCTTCACGATTTGTCTGAGTAAGGATAAAAGTATAACATATATTTTAGTCTAAGATTGCCACTGACATGAGAAGTCCCCAATATTGTTTGGTACAATTAAATGCAAACATGAATTGAAAGTTTCTCCATCATATATTCTTGACATTATAACATTACCTCATCTTTTTTCTGCTCATCTTTCTCAACTTTGATCAGAGTGGATGGTACCACTGGCTGCGGGAGGTAGTTTTTGTTGTTAATGGCTTCAAAAAGCTTATCCACAAACGGCTGGGTCTCTGAAATCATATCAAAGATAACATGTTAATACACAGATAAACAATAACACACGCTGGATCACGTGATACACCAAACAAGGCTTGTAAAGTACAGCTTTCATGAAGCCGGGGGAATACTTACCTTTCTGAAGAAATACATCCAACTGGTCTATGCACAGGGCTTTAAGTTCCTTTTCACTTTTGTCTTTCTTCACCAAAGCGACAACATACTTTGCGAGGGCAGAGGGGTCTGCATCACAGCTGGAATTAGAGACACACGAGCATCGCAATAAATAATATAGAAATGACAAATAACCTAAAAAATATGACGTTACCGGAAATGAATTAATGACACCCTGGAATTTAGCTTTACTGTGTGCGTGTTTCTAAAATTAGCTTGTATAACTGCTCAGACTGAGCTAGGAAGGCTAATGCTGTGTAGTTAACGTTACTTACATGGGCTCGAGGGTTTCAGACAGCCATGTTTTCAAGGCATCGAGGTTTTCAATGATCATCTTAGATCCAGCCGAACTTTCCTTCCACCGCGGCCAGAGTTTACGCCAGCTGAGGTGACTTTGCTTATCTGTTTAAAAGGATAACCGACATTAGCTGGTGAAACTAGCCACTTCAGTGGTCTTTCGCTAGGCTGTGGTGCTAACAGCTAGCTAAACAGCCGCGTTAACGTTGGTTAGCTTAGCTACGCTAGCATGCGTCTTTCCAGGCCACAAACACGCTGCACAGTTCCGCGACTTTCGTTAAGTATTTATGTTATAAATGCAGACTGGGAAAGTCTATTATTTTTCAATGTTCAACCAACTAACTCCGAAGACTGTAAATTATGTTTATCATCAAAACTCAAAGGAGCACCCACGCTGAACTTGCTACGTTATCCCCTCTCACTCTAGCTAACATGCCATGGCGACTATTTACTTCCGCTTCTATTCTCGTTGACAGAATATCGCGAGAGTAAGATGTAAGCTCTTCAGTACATGAGCTACATAGATTTGCTTTACTTTTGCTTAATTTTCTTATGTCGTTGTTGTTGTTTTTTTTTTTACTTTTTTCTGTATATATGTACCCCAGGGCAGTTTTATGTGTAATGAACTCATGTATCTGTTTCTTTAATAAAGAAATAAAACAACAATAACAACTTACAGTTCATTTGGACCAAAGCAACAGAGCAAGGGTCACATAAAAATGTACAAACATGCACCAATAATATTAAGAAATGTACAAAATTTTAATCAAAGTTAATAACATCTAGAAGGGGTGGGTATTTTTTGGAGGAAAACCTGGAACTATGGTCACTCTGGAATCCAGTGTTTAACCACTAACTTTCCTCTTCAGCAACTCAAACTTAGAGAAATAACTTAGTCCCACAATAATGTCATTTAGCTTACAGTCAATACACTATGTCTGTTTCTATCAGACTATTGAGTTAAAGGTTCTATAGTATGCTCATATTTAGGTTCATACTTTTATTTTGGGTTTCTACTAAAACATGTTTACATGCTTTAATCTTCAAAAAACACATTTTTTCCTCATACTTTCTGCCTAAATATACCTCTAATCACACTCTGTCTGAAATGCTCCATTTTTCTATCTTTAGACTGTTTCTCAGCTTAGGTCCATGTTTACGTCTTGTCCGCTGATGTCATTCTCATACACAGCAAAGCACTCTAATATGAAATACAAAAGAACCCATTTAGAAAGTTTATGTTTCAGGCAGTCTATTTGGTATACTTGTGACATCACAAATTCAAAGAAATCCTGATGGCTTGTTTAAAGGCACAGTTTCTGAATACGAACTGTGTGCATTGTTCTGTGGACTGAGCGTTTTGATGCATTTGCAGTATTTATATAGCACCTATACCTACCTTTTTTTTTTTTTTTTTAAATCTGACTTTTCACAATATGGGACCTTTAAATATTTCAGTTGGAGACACTTTTTACACATCATTATTTATCATTATATGATATAGATGTATTATTTACAGCCAATTTATACAAATGTCCATGTTACATGACATTTTAATTTTATGGTTATATCAGTGCATCGGTGTGAATTTACCTCACCTAATGAACTCAGGAACTTAACTCTCAAAAACCACAGCAGAGACATTTATTTTATTTAGTTATCTGCCCATGTCTGTAATATTTGAAAATAATTATAAAACTTTTATTTTGATAACTTACCTTTACCAGCTGACACAGACACTGAAATTGCATTATGGGCTTTAAGACCTTGACAAAGGATAACTTACACAATGTTTTAAAATAATTAGATCATTTTTATTGTTTCCCAGTTTCACTGGAACTACAATATAAAGATACAGAAAGACAAAAGAGCAGATAAATACAACAATATAAAAGGTTCCATTTTCCTCTATGCAAACCAGTGTGATCCTTTATAACAGCACAATCCAACAACTTGTCTCATCCCCCTTGCAAAACCATTTTGTAACATACATCATCCCTCTCAGTGAAATCATAACGTAACAGATAATCCGGTGAAATACTTGTATTGACACAAACAGCATATAAATCAGGAACACTGAACACATTTTGATCCAAATATAGAGTGTGAAAAAATAGATAAACATTTAATTAGTTAAGCAAATAATCTACTTTGTGATTAATTTAGTTTATAATAGTTTATTCATTAGTTCAAACTTACAGGATGATCAAATTCCTTTTTTTAAAAAAGCTAAAAAGCATTTTCCCTAGAATGATGTTTAAAAACATATATATTCAAAACTGTTTTTTTTTTTTTCTGCGTTTACTATGTATTTAATGTTTCCTGGATATACAGTGCATATATTAAAATCATGTAATGCCACTTGAGTGATTAAATGTTCTTCCTCAGACTGAATAAAAAATTGTGGTGCCAGAAAAAAAAGCAACCTGTAACGATATTTTGGCTTGCAACACAGAGAAAACACTATCTTAAAATAAAGCTCATTATATACAAACTGTACTTCTTAAAACAGCTCATTTTCAGTACATTCATGGTTGCCCTTCAACATTCTCAGTGAATTGCTTTCTCAAACTCAGAGGAAACAGTGTGATTATTACATACATGTATGCACATTAATATGAAGAGATACAGCTTGAGTATATAGATTATAGTTCATGTTTCCACTCACTATTTTGAATAGGATGAATGGAAGGAGTAACAGTCCAGACTGCAGTGGCTTTCACAACGTACAAATGATACACTGCCAAGAACAGCTTTTATCTTTACATTACTGGTCCAGTACTATTTCTGTGTCCTCCTCACTAATAAACAGGAGGAGGTAAGACACATTTCTTGCCTGAGTAAAACCTCAGTCTCAGCTCAGTATCCACAATTTAACAGTGGAAGGTGTACTAAAGGCAGTATATTAAAAAAAAAAACTACTAATAAATCAGAGCATTATAAACATACAGTACAGTAGACCTTATGGAGAGGAGTCAGCGTTTACTTTTCCCTGTCGATGAACTGCAGGTCGATGGGGGCAGCAGGGCAGAGTAGGCCGTGGGTTTTGGCCTTGACATCAGCAGTAAGAGGAGAAACACCAATGTGGAACCTCTGAATGAGCTGCACAAAGAGCAAAGACACGGACATGTCCATCAGATTATATAAGTCATTGTCTATGAGTGCATTTATAGATATGTTTATTTTGAAGCCAGAGATCTGGTGACTAGTGTGCTTCCTCTGGCCATTAAGGTTGGCAGATGCAAAGATATGCAGGGATTGTGTGAGCTATCTGCAGACTAGAAAAAAGAGAATGATTTTTTTAGTACATTGTTTTTTTGTGAAGTTCTTTGTCTTATGTGTGCCACATTCATGTGCTGTTTTGGTAAGTTAGTAAAATTTTCCTAATATTGCACCTTTAAAAACCTAGGGTACAATGTGTCTCTAAAATGAAGAGTTTAAAAGAACAAAATATGAGTATAATGCAAACATTACAACAGGAGAAAATAGCACAGTAAAAAAAAAGGGAAGCAGCATCACAGCTCAAAATAGAGTACATGACTCAAATAATTAAAACATTTTCTGATCTGGACCACACACTTTTGCATAGGTGAATAGGTAGAGTTGTGTATCATCAGTGTAGCAATGTGAAAACACACAACAAAATTGGCGGAATCTGTGCCCTAAGGATAGCATACTGTATATAATGAAAATAAAATGGGTCCTAGAATTGACCCCTGAGGCACCCCACAGGTTAAAGGAACACAGGTGGATACTTTGTTGTCAGTGGATACAAGAAACCTCCATATATACCTCCAGTATATAAACAGAATCTATCAAGGTCGCAGCATGACATGGAGAAGCAGCCAGGTCTTAAGTTTTTCACCTTTGATCTGCGGAGCAAGGTATAAACCATTTGGCTCTGTGTGCAAGTTTTAGAGAAACTCTACGACTATAAAGTGTTTACACTGAGTGTTATTTTAAGTCAATGTGTAGTGTTGTCTGCTGCCAGAAATGTTGCATTATGTGGTAGCTGAGCAAAACCTAATTATTAATTATTGTCTTCATACATGTGTTTGTTATTTTGTTTGCTTTATGAGTCTTTAAATGTGTAACATATATACTCAAAGAAATGACTTGTTCTATTCTGTCAGGTTTATGTATTTCAGTCACGTGAAATTTCTATCCAACTGATCAAGTAATTCTAACATAAACAAAAATAAATACCATCTATGTAATTAAGTCAAATAAAACTGAGATGAATAGACAGCAAGAATTTATGTAACAATAACTTATAGAATTTACTTAATTTACTTAAATAATGTTTACGTAGCTACCGTCAATAAATTCTGTGTGTCAAATGTGCTAAACTCTATGTATTTCTAAATATGTCAAGATATTTAAAATGTATAGAATTTATCAACAGTAATTAAATAAGCTAAATAAATAAATTAGGTAAATTATATGAGCTATAGTTACATAAATCCTCATGGTCTATTCATCTCATCTTTATGATTTAATTACATCAGTGGTATTTATGGTTGTATCTGAAGCTGAGGGCTGCTACTCTATGCAGAAAAAGCTTGACAAAACCCTGAAATATTGTTTAATTATGCTTGCTAACTTTGTCTTAAAAGCCTGATAAAAAAAGGTGATGGACAAAAAAAAATAGTTGTAAATATGACACAATGATATGAACTTTATTCATTCATATGTGTGGATACATTTAGAAATATGTTTGAAGCTAAGTGATTAAACCCCTACCCTTGTGAGAGCTAGATGCATCTCTAACTCTGCTACTCTCCTGCCGATGCAGCTCCTGATGCCGTAGCCAAAGGGAATGGAGCCAAAGTTGTCGACACGATCTGTGGAGTCTTTACGTATCCAGCGATCCGGTCGGAAGTCTGAAGCATCAGGGAAATTCTCTTCATCAAAAGATGTGGAGTAGTGACAAAGAGCCAACTGAGTCTAACAAAGTGAGAGAACAAAAAAAAAAGTCAGTTGTGAAATGAAAACAGCTGGGCTATTGTACATGCATGTCTACAAGAAAGAGGAAGAGAGAGATGGATGAGTAATGCAGGATCATGTTACATCTGGTTCCACTGTAATGTTTTTGGCTGACTCCTATGGTCACGCTTTTTCTCCAGCACATGTACACCCAAGAGGACTTGCATCTATTATGTCTCTATCAGTCTTACCCCTTTGGGGATGAAGTATCCGCCCACCACCAAGTCATCCTGGGTAATCCGTCCGTTGCCAGGGAGAACTGGAAAAAGCCTGCTCCCAGGGAGCGGTGCACAAAGACTGTTATTCAACAGCACTATACATTCATCTTCTCACAAAGTTAATGAGTGAAAGCCACAGAGAGAGAGAAAATAGATAAATTAAAGATACTAGAACATATTGAACAAAATCAAGCCTCAGGTTTTAAAGTCTATTAAAGTATTTCTGAGTTGTTTTTTACAGTGCAAGTGAGAGTGAGTGAGTGAATCATCAACAGCTGGAGAACAGAAAGTATAAATATCCATGCACCTGAGAGTCTCTTTGACCAGCCCCCTGATGAGAGGCAGATGAGCAACATCAGCAGCTGAGGCAACAGTTCCAGGCCCCAGAGTCTGTGTCACTTCCGTAAAGATTTGCTCCTGTACATGAGGGTTCCGCGCTAACAGGTAGCTGGCCCATGAAAGGGTGAAGGATGTCTATGGGAGGATAGGAAAGAAAATTTGTTATACATTCCTCTTTGAATGTGTAGTATGCTGGTGCTGGTTATGAAATCTCCGTGGAGATGTTGTCATTTTTATTAATGTTTTGCAAAGAGTTTGACTGCAATGCAAGCTGATAGGAGTTTCTATGATGTTGCGCAAGTGTTGGGAAACAGTGAGGGGGCTCTGAGGGAGAGGGGGCTGAATCCACGTGCTGAGCAGACACTCAAGTCCACTCCACCAGCTGCACGCTCAGCCCTTTATCCCTCATCTTACATCACTCATCCGTTTACATCCCAGTGTACCTTGATGCACTCACTAGTGCCACATGTAACAGTATTACAGCTGTAATAAGGATACACAGACCTAAATATAGTCCTGATTAATTGGCCAATCACACAGATTAAATGGAGTAGCCCCACCTCACTCAGTTTCTAACATTTTTGATATGTATGTCCCCCTCCACACCGTGGGCAGATTTATGAGGCAATGGGCCCTTGGGCACAGATATGTAAAAGAAACGACCACCTCTCCTACACAGGAGCAAGACACACAGCCTCTTTTTGTTATTTTTGTTTTGTGTCTCTTTGTAGTCTCTTTGTCATCATTTTTGTCTCTTTGCATTTGTTTTGTCTATTTAAGGTTTTTATGTGTCTCTTTGTTGTCGTTTTGTGGGTTTTTTTAGTGGTTGTTTTGTGATTCCTTGTAGTCGTTTTGTGTCTCTTTGTGTTTTTTTGTAGTCTTTTTGTGTATCTTTGTCAACATTTTGTGTCTCTTCATAGTGTTTTTTGTCTCTTTGCAGTTGTTTTGTGTCTATTTAAGGTTTTTATGTGTCTCCTTGTAGTCATTTTGTGTCTCTTTGTGGCTTTTTTGTGGTTGTTTTGTGATTCCTTGTAGTCGTTTTGTTTCTTTTTTTGTCTCTTTGTGATCTTTTTTGTTTGTCTTTGTAGTAGTTTTGTGTCTGCTTGGGGTTGTTTCGTGTCTCTTTGTACATTCTTTGCAGCTTTACAAGTTTTTTGTGTCTCTTTGAGGTAATTTTGTGTATGTTTTGGTCTTTTTGTACCTCTCTGGGTTATTCTGAGTCTCTTCCAGGTCAGTACATTTTAATTTAAGTGATGTTTTGCAGGTGTAGGCCAAGGGAGTCCCTGACATTTTTGGCCCCTGGGCCTGTGTACGGTAGGCCTATTCGGTAATCCATCCATGCTCCACACACACATACCTCCCACACATTTTGTGCTTTCCCTTTGTCATCTAACACACCCTGATCATTGTAACTTCCTGTTTCCTCAATTGTGGCTGCCCTACCATCTGTCTTTACTTGTCCTTTTTCAGGGTTAGGGTTAGGTCTCAACACATCACTGACATTTTGATTTCAGGAATGTGGGCAGATAAGCAAATGATATGACAACGGACGTCATCCTTCCCCATCATATCTGTATCATGTACAGTATGTTACCTAAGCCCACATCTTATGTCTTTCCTGGCATGCTGCCTATCTTCCCATCCGGCCTCCTTACTTTTCCACCCATGCATTCAGTGCCATATACTGGTATCAGAGGGCCAATGTTTTTTTGCCAACATCACACTGAATAGAACCCAGAGGTCAGTCTCAGGTCAGTATCTCTAACTAATAATCAAAGAGTCTCTGTCCTTGTATAAGCCCCGCCATCCTTCTTGCTGTTCCGTCTCCCACCTCCCTCTTCCCACTACTCTTCCTCAGACTCACCCTCCCACTCTGTAATCACCCTCGCCCCATCTAACCAATTTGCAACCAATCATCCCCGGCTGGGACAAATGCTGGCAACACCTCAGACAAAGCCGTAGAGGAATCATATGACAAAAGCTCATCCAAAAAACAGCTCAAAAAGGCTTAGGCCTCTCCCCTCTATCCCCCACATCTTCTCTTCATTCTCTAACATCCATCGTGTTATACCCAACTCTTCTTTCCTCCCCCTCCTATGACGCCAGTTCCCCAAACTTTGCAGTTTCATGACAGCGTCCTTTTTCCTCAAGCCCACCCCTTTATTCTCCCCCTCGTCTCACCTCTGCCCAGTCTGTGCCATAACTCTGGCTGTGGCTAACGTGTCTTGACAGCTCTTGTGTGTGCTGAGTAAAGGGAAATGCACCACAGGGTCAGGTAATGGCTCAGCTTAGTCCACCCCCTGCCAGGACGTGGCCGTTGCAACAAGTTCAACAAAAACACACACACCCTTTTATCCCATGGCCCCCAGCTCAGAACAAAACACTCTACACCCATAATTATCATTAATCTGACAGAACCCAAAACAAATTAGGCAGTAATTGTGCACATGTGCACACAGTATGCACACAGATGCAGATGCACCCACACACTCATACAAGACAAGTGTGAAACAGTTGGAAAATCATTCTTCATGGGCACTGTACCACTCTTGGTGATACCACTCTTGGTGGTACTGTTAGGGTTACGGGTTAGAATCGGGAGATAGATTTCCTATTCTCTGACATATTTTGAGTTTTATTACAAGCGTTTCTTGTAAATATCTTTAATTTTCTGTCTGCTGAATTGTATCATGTGTGAAGGGTGTCCATATCTGACCCAGGATCTGTCATATTCCTGCTCCCTTTCGGTGTCTCCTATTTCTGTATTCTTTAATCTGCCTATTAAAATGTAAAAATTCCCTCCCAAATGATACTTTAAGGGCATTAAACCAGCAGTCTTAATTATTTGCAAGTGCCATCTAATTAAGTTCTAATGTGGAAACACATGAACACACAACACAGATGTCTGGTGGAGGAGGAAAAAAAAGACAAAAGCCCCCCTGTGTAGATCTAACAGACAATGACAAATGACAAGAAACTAAATCTGAGTGAGAACAAGTTTGTCAGTGGGATACTGTGTAACCTCCCGATTCACTGCCCTGACCTGACGCTGGCACAGCTACACAGGCACGAATGTGGCGCCAGAAACCCAACCCTTGAAACTCAAGACTGACTCAAACACGCACACACAGACGTAGACACACAAGTGCGACTCCCAACCCCTCCACCTCCTGCTAAAGCTACGCTCCCTGCTCAAACTCCTCTCTGCGCATATCTGCTAACACACACACACACACACCGTGTCGACCCCTGCCAGTAGCATCTCCGTCAAGTTGGCGTAGATCTCCTCCATGTTCATCTCCTTGGAAATAAGCATGTGTGTGAGCAGTCCCCCCTTCACCTCCTCTCCCCGCTCCAGCTGGGCCTTGATCTCTGTCAGCCTCTTATCAACGTGAATGCAGCCTGGGATCAGACAGAGACAGAGAAGGTGGGATGAATGGAGATGGGGGAGGAAAGGGGAGGTGAAGGGAATTAAACAAAAAAAGAAAAAAAAAGCGACAGGTTATGTAACAGAGGGACCCCATACTCCCACAATCCCATGGTACAGCAGTAGAGATTTATATGCAAATCAACATTCCTTTCTATTGATGCCAGGCTATATGTCCACAAAAAAGTTACTTAACTCAACCTCAGCTGTACTGAGAAAACATTATCTAACATGTTTACACATAGAAAAATATTTTTTGAAGGATTTGGAATCAACCCATTGGAGAAAGGGAGGCCATTCTGGAAACATATAAACTGGTGCTATATGTCATATATCTCTCTGACCCTGTTGTTTTTTGGATGATGCAAAAAAAAATACAATGTTATGTGCCTTTGAAAAGTTATCGACTTCATTTAAGACCTTCTCATTCAGAAAAAAAGCCCAGGAAATCTTCAAGAAGCATTACACAAATGTCACCACAGGGTTCTCAGTCAGTTGTGTAATGTCTTTTGTCACTCTGGAGAAGCTTACCCAAGATTAAAAATACTACTATGGCTTAAGGGTTGTCTCAGCTTGGGCTTGGAGGCTACAAATTCACAAGAAAGCCTCCATAATTAGGTGCCCCCAACTTACTGAATTTGAAGAGGCCATCCCAGGACAGGCAGAACTCCTCCCACGGTTTGGGGAACACAGGTCGGAGCCACTTAGGGATTGCCCCGGCGTACATGGTTGTCTTGAAGGAGCTGAACATGAGGTGCAGTGCACTGATGTAGTCTTGAGTTTCCTGGGGAATCTCATTTTCCAAACAGCCTAATCGGGCTTCATATAAAATGGCTGCCACACCTGTAAGGAAAAAGGCAGAGAAGAGAGAGATGAAGTTTCAATAATTGTCTCTGTAAAGTTGGAAATCTCGGACATGGACTGATTAAACATCACTTACAAAGGTGGTCTGACAAGCATTGTCATGGTTGCATATTTCTATTTTTCCAATCTATTTTCTCTCTGGTATCACCTCTTCCTGTCTACTTTTAGTCCTCTTTAATGGTCTCGCTATCTTCCTTACCTCCTCGTCTATATTACATCCACACTATTCTTTTCAAATCCATGCTGCCTGACTTCCATTTCCTTTATGACCAAACTTTGTATGATCTTCACTAACCTTCCATGGCATATTTGAAGAAGAGGTCATTCACATTGAGGACAGTCGCTCCATCAGGCCCCTGGGCGCTCAGAATACCGACTCTCTTGATCAGGTCGTCTACCACTCGGTTCACATCGTCAGAGAAGACTGCTACGTCACGGGGACGCATGATGAGCTGCCTGAGCACGCTGCGCATCTTCAGCCAATCTTCTCCCTCACTGGAGAACAGGACACAGGAGAGACTATTTTAAATGCAAGACATTTACTGACATGTAGAGGAAACATTCTTGTTTTGTGGAGACTGATAGTAGTGACACTGTTGAAAACCATTGAGAGGACATGCACAGTATTTGTGAGCTAACCCTGGAAAAGAAGCTCGGACATAAGGTTATGTGCTTTGCCCATCCACATGTATGGAAACTAAATTGATGATCCTGTCGACCTCCCAAAATCATTTATTTTCAGGAGGTTGTCGCCCTGACTCAGAGATCAAAAGGTTGAAGGGGGACTCACGCTGAGATGAGTCCAGTCGAACGGCCTCTCATGTCTCTGTACTCCTTCCAGGACTCCATGTTAGCCCTCTGAGGGGCCACGCCCTCTGCCCTGAGCACCTCAGCCACCAGGTCACGGTCTGCCACCGAGACCACCAGCTGGGGCCCAAAACGGGATTTGAAGATTTTGCCATATTTCTTTCTGTGCTCCATCTGTAAAGCAGCAGTGAGAAGAATGAATTAGTGGTCACTTTTATTAATTGTGGAGAAAATCCAGGACCAATTTGACTTTTATTACACTGATAACTTCCTACTAAAATAAAATTAAAACATTTTCTCTGACTGAAGCAAATGATTTAATAATGGTGAAGTGATGGAATACATTTCAGCAGATTTGTCTTGTGTGCCAGTGGTGTCACTAAATCTCCAGTAGAACCAGTCTGTAACAACGGCCTTAATTAAATCTTCACTTGCACACCATCCAAACATAATGTACCTTGTCTGAGTGTTGTGTCAGTAAGAGTGAATGTCTATATTTAAATGTCAAATTGTGTTGCTCATACAGCTGCAATCCTGATGGTGATGAAATTTACATAAGAAAGAGGGAGTGTTCATCTGACCTTTCATTTTGCAAGATGTGGCAAATACCACATGTGTGTCACAATCAGACTCAGTGACTATTAGGGATAACTTGTCTTGATCAAGTGTATGTTAAATATGTACTTACTTTGCATGTTGTTTTGTCATGTTGATTTACACCTAGATAATTTCCGTTCCCAGGTAATTTCCTACTTGTTATTTTCTTTTAAGATTTTCTCTACAGAGTGAAAAAGAGGTTTATCACTGGATTATCTGCTGCATCTTGTAATGGGGAGAACACTTTCAGCCTCTCGTATAACTCACTTTAAGACTATTGCACAACTCATACTCTGGAGTGCGCTTTTACGCAACGGTCTGTGCCATTTTACGCATAGGTGGCAAATTTGGCTGACGCTGAGGATACGAACGCTCCTTGGCATTGGTGGGAAACACAAAGAAATGATTTCATATGTCAAACAAAATGAGAAAGCACAAAAATGCACATATGTACACCATTACCTGAATTTCATGAATTCTGCTAAACCCGTCTCTCCAGAAGAACTCGACCAAGTTGGCTATGGTGCTCGGTCCAGGCATCTCCTTCAGGGACATGGCTCTGGTTTTCTCGCCGACATCTGCCGGTGTGATCAGTCTCTCAGGCATGGCCTCTTCTCCAGCCGCGGTGATCCCAAAAGCCTCGCTGGCTGCTGATTTGTGCAAGGCGCGTAAAATGAAGACCAGCTGCCTGTTTAGCCGGTCGCCTTGAAAACTCTTCCAGCATGCTGCCGTGAAATATTTCGGGATTGCCATTACTGGGAGACTTTTCGGTGTTTCCGTGCGCAACAAACCGATGTGTGGTTGAGTCTTGTGCAAAGTCTAAAAGCGGCAGAGTTCACATCTGCAAATGCATGTTCATGGCACGTGTAGACACAGTCCTCCCTGTGTGGCAATGTAATATTAGATGGGATTGTATTATGGAACGCTTTTAAAGAGTCGCTTGTACAACCTCAGAGGTGAAACAGGATTGGATGTTCGCTTCAAAAGAAGGAGGGATAACTCTGTATTCGGGTGTGGGCGTTTCCCCCCAAAAAAGCTGCTGGGTTCATTCTTCCATTGGAAAAGGGAGTGCGGTACAACGTGCCAAAACACTGTTAATATCACACCGATCAATCAGCACACCCCACCTCCGACAAATGCGCACACATACACTAAATAGGCGTTAATGTGATTACCGTCACATGAAGGCAAACCTCATGTTGACAGTGGTCATATAACAAAGGAAAATTCCTCCCACAGTCCTGCTCATGTAAGCTGTGCACATCCATATCCAGAGAGAGGTGATTTCACAAATCATTAGCTGTTTACACCTACAGTAAGAGCTCAATGGTTTGTTAATGTTTAGCAGTTGTATTTTAGGTAATACTACCAGGCTGTATACAATCTGTGGAGACACATTGCAGATAAAAGTTACCTAAGCCTGGAGCTCAGAGAGGCATGACATGTGTATGTGTAACATTTATCTTGCAGCTTTTCAAAAGATAAATGGTAGATGGCAGCAAATGTAAAATAGTTGCACATTAATCATGCCTCTGTCTCCAGAGTTCCCATGCCAGGCTTAAAGGGATAGTTCAGTTTTTTTTGAAGTGGGGTTTCATGGGATACTTATCCACATTTGTATGTGGGGCCCATGTGGGTAGTAATTGGGCTGAAAAAATAAGCCCTATATAGGATTGTTCACGGGCTCCATAATCCCTGCATGTCAATTGCTTACAAGGGTGAGCCCCAGACAAGGTGCCCATTTTGGGCCTCTATGCAGTTGCTACCCAGGCAGCCCTGGCATAACCCATGTGGAGCCCACTTGGGTAAACCTACCCACATGGGCAATTGGCACACGGTCAATATGGAACCTGTGGACGATCCAATATGGGGCCAATTTTTCAGCCCATGTAGTACCCACATGGGCCACTTATACACATGTTGGCTGGGTAGTTTGGAGAAGCAGGCTGAAGTCCGACACAGAAGCTAAGCAATGTACTGCGGCGGATGGGGGTCAACAACAAAACATTTTCTAACCATCTAAAAAAGTCCCACCCATAAAAATCAATGTCAGTTTAAGTGTATGCTATATTGAGAGTAACTGCTTTACCTTTTCGTAAGAGGGCCTGTTCTGTCCTTTTAACCTTGGGTGTTCATCTTCCCAACTTAATGGATGTTAAAGTCGAGCTTTAAACCAGAGGTGGGACCAAGTCATTGTTTTGCAAGTCACAAGTAAGTCTCAAGTCTTTGCACTCAAGTCCCAAGTCAAATCTCGAGTCCTTAAGTTTGAGTTTTGAGTTCTAAATAATTCATAATGCCCTCAACACCAAATGTAGCCTAATGCCATTTTGACAACAGATTAAAAATGTTAGATTTACAAAAATCATGTATGCTTTTCAAAAAATTGTATTAATTTGTTAAAACGTCTTTGTTAGAGTTACTTAGCTATTCAGCTAACATTAGCTTATAGACCGTATTAATATTAGCCTTGACATAAGGCCTACTGTTTTTTTGTGCAACTTCAAATATCAACTGTTGTGTGTCGTCTGTTTTGCATGCAACTATTACTTTTTTTCGACTGCATGTTTTTTGCAAGTTAACAAAATCCTCTTTGCTAAAAATGTATCAAACTGGGACTCAGTAATGTAATGTTAGTACTTACTGGTTCTCTCCTGCCACTTGATTGTGTGCTAAGTGGATTTGAGGAATCAAGTGTCGACTTGCTGGGAATAAATATTGTAAAACTTTAATTAAAAGCCCAGTCCCTTTTACTAGCCTGGTGTGGCTACACATTTTGATGAATAAACACCTGCCTCAATTAGAGGCCTGGTCTGGTTGCCAAGCAGTTCATTTTTATTGGTACAAGTTCTTCGGATCTATAAAACTGGATTGTTGGCTACCAAAAATGATGTGTCCATTCCTTGATTACCCTGTAAATAATTCATATTCATTTAGTCTGTAAGGGTCTTTACATCAAAAGAATCAAAAAGGTTTTTCATAAAAAATAATCCAAGTTGTGAATATTGTTTTAACAGGATAAATGTTGTGTTGTGTTGGTGTGCCAGGTGCCATAATCCTCGAGTGCCATATCTCACTCTAGCTGATGTGCTGTCTGTCGAAGCTAGATCAGATGGTTGATTCATAATTGATATATTATCAGAAGCCTAATTTTTATACAGGTAATATTCATACTGGTCTAAGTAAACAATTTTATTGTATTTCCTGATCTTTGAAAGTAATTAAAGGCCTGTCCCATATAGATGCCTGTCCCAAATATAGGCCTGTTGATTTCAGTGATTTAAGCAATTAATATCCAGAGCTATTAACTGAAGTTTTACGGTAGCATTAATGTTAGTTGATTTAGGAAATGAAAGGAAATTAACTGAGCTGTGGAACACTTGTCATTGGTGTGAAAAGTCCACATTTTGTCAAGTCATCAAGATTGTGCCTCCAGTCTGACCTGAGTCCACACTTGTGGTTTAAAACTTAAACTTATCACTGCTTTTTAAATAATGGTTGCTTTTATCACCTTTAATGGGAATTCAATAACTGAGTTAAAACAGCTGTTTTTATCTTTCTTCATGGGGGAAGACGACAACAAGTGACTCACAAAGCATGCATCACTTGCTAGGATATGAATCATCACATTTCATATCCTGACGTCTTCTTTGTTCATTTCTTTTCCATTTTCCATTGTGGTGAATGTGCTTCAGTCTGATGGTCCATCCTCTCTCTTCCTCCTTATCTCAACAGACATGTGAATTCAAATCGACATTACTACATTTTGCTCCTTCAAAGCCGACAGGCCTCAAGTCCTCAGGGGACACAAAACAGGGGTTTAAGTGACTGGGCCACAGATGGGGCCATTTAGAGGGCTACTGTGCCCTGTGGTCTAGTGAAGGGTGGCCGGGCAGAGGTGGGTATTTTCCCACACTCACCACTTTGGCAGCGAACACAAGGCACCAGGCTGGATGTTGTTTTTGGAATGTCTTCAAGTCATCACCAAGCAGAGGAAGTAGACCCCCCCCGCTCCTCGCCCCTCTCTATCCCCGGCTTTTACTTGTGCCAAGACCAAATAAAGCTCAGTTTTCCCTCTTTTCAGTCTTCAAGTGGAAAAAAAACCCTTACAGCTACACATTCTTTACTCTGGCAAAACAAAATAAAGTAGTGTACTGTGATGTGGAGCCAGTAGTGACTATTGTCACTATTAACTGTTGGCAGGAACACATGTTATTTATGTTTACATTTAAGTTCTTCTACGCTTTTACTCACTGATTTTTAATGTTGTCATGTTCCATCTTGTCAAACCTTTGTCTGTTATATAACAGACACATTTTAGTAAATATTGTTAATATCTTTGGAGATGAACGTTCATTTAAGCCTTCTGCAGTGACAGATGCAAACAAGTTTTCCCTAACAACAACAACAACAACAACAACAACAACAACAACAACCCCCACAGAGCATTCAGTCTTCTAGACATTTAAGAATCAGAAAAAGATGCTTTTTGGTTGGGGTGTGGAGGAGGATGGAAACTGTCATTTCTGTAAATCTGATATTGAAGATATGTTGCATTTATTTTGGTTCTGTCCTCACGTGGCAACTTTTTGGACGACTATCAAAGATGGCCTGCATCAAGTTCGATTTTTTTTAACCATGTGCAATGAATTAAGAAATGGTTGTCCTCGCATTTTAATTACTATTATATTATTAGGAAAAAGGTTTATTTTTGAATCAAAAGGAAAAGAGCAATTGAAATTCCCGTTGTTATTTTTTTGCTGTTTAAAAAAAATCTGTATGTTTGATGGCATCATTGCTACAAGGCAGGGGCAATTAATTGACTATGAAAATAGATGGAATAGATTAAGGCCAAGTTTAGAAGAATGATGATTATGACATCATTATTTAGTTGATTTTGGTTGTTTGTTTTGTTGTTGATTTGGTTTTTTGCATCTGTCAATTTTTTTTCTCCATCCTTTTACTACAGTATGTTTGTCAGTGGTTTATGATGTGTTTTAGTGTTGTTGTGTAATTTGCATTTGTTTTGTTTAGATAAATAAAATAATTTAAAAATAGTTTGTCACAAAAAGAAAGGGACATTTCTTTAAAGAAAGATATGTAGCAACATTTTTACAAAACATAGTAAAAACTAACAGGAACACAGATTAATGCCCACTGATTACAAGAGTTTAATTTGTGATGTTTTAATGTAGAAAATGTTGCCACTCTTACAAAAACGTGTACAAATATAATACATCCTCAGTTTTGCTCCTCTGATACAGTTGTCAGTGAAGCACACATTTACAGCATATAAGACACAGCTTATTCCACATAGGGCAAACATCACCTATCCATAATACTCCGGTCTGCTCTCATTCTACGCGCAGACAATTGTTGCTGAAATATACTGAAAACCACAACTCGCAGCCTTCAAGCATGGTGGGATTTAGCTTGAATTTCATGAACGCCTTATAATGTGTCAGCATGGAAACAGAGATGTAAGGGTTTGTTTTCAGTTACAAGTGAGAGCCAACAGTGGTTGACACTTAGACGGGTATTTGATTTGCAAATGTCATGCATGTAAGTGCTCGAGGAAGCTGGAGCATAGACTTTCAAATGTGTCACACTGAGGAGTCGAGCCCTGCTGGCATCATACGCTGCATTCTTCACCAGATGTAAAAGTAATTTCAACCATCATCACCATCAGCTACCAGGAGAAAGCAATGTACAGTAGATCGTCATAACCTTCAGGTAATAATCTGGTTCAAGTTTCCTCCAGTCATTGCTCTTTTCTCCAGACCAGCTGGACTATCTGAACCTGCTGCTGGTAGCCTCGTGCTTAGCTTCAGGTTATTATCACCATGTTGCAGCTGAGTCTTTAGGTGTCAGGGTTTGAGTCGGTACATCTACTTTCTGAAGCGCTTGAACA